GTGAACAAGAGTGAACCTGAGATTTGACGGGAACATCGAGAGTGAAAGCAGATTTAAAATGACCCCAAGGTGCCTGAGAGACAATTTAGCAGTTGTTGCAGGGGGACCATAACTCTGTCAGGGGCTCAAACAAGGACTTCCTTTTTATAACATTTCTTCATTAAGTTGGGGAAAGTTGTGAACTATCCAACTTTTAGCAGTGTTTAAATCCTGTTCAGGACTGCAGCTTAGAAACATCGGTGGGTTTAAAAGAGATATACCGAATATCAACTGAATGGCAGTGATAGCAGTTTTCCTTAAAGGTGCTCAAAACGTGCTGAAGAGGGAGCAGATATGACAGAAACAATAACTAATACCTAGAATAGAAATTTTCTCAAATTTCGTGACAGAAAATAGGAAAAAGTTGCACTGAATTTTTTTTTTAATATGTGAAAACATGCATGACAGTAGACGACATTAGGCATAAACACCGTTTGTATAATTCTAATGTGGATAAAGGTCAGCAGCCTATCTTTAGTCCTCAATAAAGTAAGAAGTGTCTCAGACAAAGATTTTTGTCATTTTTTAAGTAATCTTCAAGAATAGTTTCTTGAAAAGTTCCTTGAAGACATTGGTGGCTCTTATTTGAATGTTGGTTTCCTTTTTATCTTATCTCTGTCAAGATGATTCCACACTGCTTCAGTAATGTTGATGTCCAGGATCTGGGGACTCCAATCCATGACTGTCACTGCTCCACTGCATGCTTTTCCATCCTGGTAGGCTTTTGGTTTTGTTGCACTGGCAGTGTGTTTGGAATCACTGAAAAATAATGTACTTAGTTAACATAAATTCATAACTTAAAAAGGCAAAACATTCAATTCCAAAACAATTCATTTTAACAAAATGTGCAATACAAAAGTCCAATCAGACAAACAAGGGGAAAAAATAAACCAGAAGCCAGAAGATAATAAGAGGAAGTATCTGGGTGCAGGTGGCAGACAGATACATAAGCACTAATAAAGATAATAGGAAACAGGTCAATTAAGATAAAAGCAAGGCTGGGAAAAGAAACAAAGGAGGAAGGTTAAAACGCGGGCTACACCTTTCTTGGCTGCTGCCTCAAAGCACATTGTGCGCTGTCTATCTTGTGTGCTGCACAATATCGTTTATTATTTAATATCTACTGTTATCTATGCTAGCTAGTTTGTGATGGTGCTGTTTTTTTTATTATGTTGCTCTTTGTTGTTTGCTTTCTCTTCTGCTTTTTTTCTCCATACAGGTGACCCATGTGTTTTGTTTTTGTTTGTTTGTTTGTTTTTCTCTTTCTTCCCCCCTTCTCATCGTCTCTTCTCCCCTTTGGTTTTTTCTCTCTCCCTCTCTTTCTTTCATTCTTTCTCCCTGTCCTATCCCCCAGTCATGTCTTTCCCGTTTGTAGCAACTGAAAATAAAATAAATTCATAATTATAATAAAGGTCAATCAAATGGACCAATATGGCAAGGCCATGATGATCCACTTGGTAAAATAAATCCGCTTGGCATCTTTCTTGGCCTTAAGACAACAATTCTGATGGCTAAAGATCCAAACTGGACACAAAAAAAAAAAAAAAAAAAAAAATAAAAACGAAAACAATTCCCAAAAAAATTTATTTCTCTATTTAAAAAATAATAACATCAAATCTATCATTTTTGTGATGTAGGCTTCCTCTAAAACTTCTAGTGTTTTTAACACCCAGTTGTCCTTTTGCAGTTTTTTTTTTAAAAGGCTGAACTGAAGACATGAAATGTGAAGCAGGACACGACATTTCAGCTCATGGAATAAACCTGCTTACCTCCACACACGGATTTATGTCATCAGCTGTCGGGTGAAATGGCTTTGTTCCAGGCACAATTGGAAAAATCTTTATTATTGGCTCTTGTGCCCATTTTTTACTAAAGTGTTTCATTTCCATTTCTTAGTCTACAGGTTCAAGAACATCCACATCCATCCATGTTATTGAACACAGCCTGCATTCTTAATGGCCAGGCAGTATTGAGCATTAGGCGTTGAGCTACAAAAGGAACAGCAACACAGGGGAAGACAGAAGTTTTGACATTTGAAAAGCTAATTTTTTAACCTCCTGACAGCCAAGTCTTTTGTTTGGAATACATTTTACATTTAATTTCTCCTAGTTATTTGAGAAAAACTTGGCCTGATTAGTTCTATTATTGTTCTACTATTCTATTATTGTTGTTATTTATTTATTTTCTTTTTATATGGAGACAGGAGGTCTCTATATTTAAGTAAACCATAAAACTGACTGTTTAAAAGTATGAAAGGTCATGAAAGGTAAAAAACTCCAGCTGCTACTTCCCATGTTGTATACAAGAAACTGCTGGTTTGTCTCAATATTTGAATTTCAACTTTAGACCCGGTCAGCTGGTTGCATTAGCTTGCTTTGGTGTGTTGCAGCTTAGCGTGCTCAAAAGTTCAAAATAAACTTCCAGGTTTACCAGGTTGAATTTACCTGCCATAATTTGGTAGGAAAACTTGCTCGTGACTCATTGTGTTTCCATGTTTTCTGTTTGTGTTCTTAGAAGATGATTGCAATAATTGGGTGAATGATAAAACAATAAAACAACCTACACAGAAGACGTTCAGGTATCTCTGACTCGTGGCAGAACCAAGCTCTAGAGATCGAATCACTGCAGCAGAGTTGCAGGATCTCATTCATTCTGAAAACAAAGCCACCCTCTTTTGTTGTTCTAAGTGGCTAAAAGCCTTTTACAAAGCACAGTGGCTGCAGGTGCCCATGACTACTGCTCACACATGACCAGGATGTAAACACGGAATTTTAGCTTGCAGCAGTGAATCACTACAAACAAGCCTTTTGTAATGGTTCAGTCATGCATTTGTAATGAAAAGCCATCAAGGATTGAATGAAGCATATTAGAAGGACACATGCTAGGGCAGTAACACAGATTCACAATGAAAGATGAACAGAAATGAGGGGAAAGAAAGGGGGTGAGGAAGACTCGCCATAGGTGCAACTGTGGAGAGAAAACTAATTGTGAGGAAAGATGTTTGTGCAGCATCCCAAGTAATATATAAAAGTGACTCGTAAGATCGTTTAAAAAAGGCAGCATCTTAAATAGAAAGGTGATATTTATTGTACCTGACCTTCTTTATAAATTGCAGTTTTATTTTCAAGACTATCTTCCTGAATAAAAAAAATTCCAATGTAAAATGTGCCTCCTTACGGGAATCAGTAACATCCTTGGGAGTTACTCTAAAGTAAGCCTCAGTTTAATATAAAATATTGGTGCATCTTTTCAGAAACAGTTCTCGCTTTATTACAGCTGAAGGTCTTTATTGCTCTTTAAAAGGTAACATTGATCAGCCACAATATTCAAACCAGTGGAAAGTAAACCACATAAAACTGATTTAAGGAAAACCTTGGGTCTTGGTGTTCATGTGTCACCAGCCACAATAACAGCACTCCCCAGTGATAGTTAGAAAGATGATGTGCACCATCACACAGAAAAACCTGCCCAGAAACAGTTTTAGTAAAGGGCATTGATACCCATCCCAGGATTCAGGGATATACCAAGGCACAGAGACAGACAGCATTTCATTTTACATCCTGAAGGATCCGAGTGTCCTGTCATTGCAGTTCTTGAAATTACTGTAATTACAAGCCACAACAGCGCTGTGGATAGCTGGAGACTATAGGCATTATGTCCATTATTCTTGGTCATTTGGTTGAATTCACACCTGCTGTGAAATCAATGACACAATCAAAGTGCGGCGCTGCTCTTAGTCCACCCAATTGATCCAAGCTACTGGGAAAAATATCCTGTGGTTTTCTTGTGTCAAAGACATACTCAGGTTTGTAAAAAAAAAAGCTATTAACCTCCTAGCACCTGGTGTCCACATATGTGGACATCATATTTTGGGTTATTTAGACCAAAATACTCAATTTTGCTCTACAAGGACCTGATATCCACTTACAAGGTCATTCTGTTCTATCTAAATTTTAAATGAATATCCTCATATGTGGCTCGCATTTTTCTTAGAAACATAAATCAAGCAAAGAAAATAATCTGGTAATTCTTTGTTTTTACATTCATCAGGTCCCAATATGCTCAAATATCAAAGAGAAATTAAAAATACATGCCGTGGAAGAGTTTGGGTCTTAGGAGGTTAAAATGTAACATAGTTAAGTTTGTAGCTGCTAAATGCTTCAGAACATGCAACTACAGAACATACTGTAACATGGTTTTAGAGCCATTTGCTGAAAAAGTGTGACAACAGAGTGGATAAAGACTAGAAAGTGGACGAAGAACTATGAGCTGAATGGTTTTAGGACTCTTTGCAGATTTGGGATGAAATGTGCAGCAG